GGTATCCAGAGGAGAAGCCCTAGTAAATACCTGAGAGCAGTGTGTCCTCTTGGGATCCAGCCTCTTGTGCATCCTAAGTATTATCTTTTCCTCCATCTCTTTAGTAGCATTACTGTTTCATTGGCTAACATGAGGGATCAAGAAGCAACCTTGCAATAATTCCACAGCTTTGAAAGCAGAAATTTCTCTTACATAAGCTTTATTTTGCAGTTACTGAAACATAGCTGACATGAAAAAGCAGGAAATGTTCAGTTTTTCTTTATAATTTATACCTTTGCAACTTTTATTTCGTTCAGAAACCCCCCTGTTTATTTGTGAGCTACTAAGTTGTGGTGCCTGGAAATACATACGCTTATCTCTAAATGTTTGCTCATTCTGTTTGTGATGTATTTGTACATGTAGTTTCCCCAGCCTGCTGTAAGTTACAAAGTGAAATATTGAAATATCTCTGGCATCTGGGATAAATGAACTTGAGATTACAAATCTTGTAGTTTTTTCTGCATATTGAATGAAAAGACAAAAGCATGCAGACAAGTCTGTCCTGCAGCAACAAGTTTTTCAGAGACAGGACTATGATTCAAGTAAGCCCCTCTGATCAGATTTGTGTAAAAGTTTGGAAAAAAATTGACTTTTGGCAAGATGTTCAATATGTAATAGGATCATTTGATATTTGAGCTTCTAGAATAGTAGCTTAAATGCTGAAAGGGCAAAGTTGTATCCTGTGGGCTTCCTAAACTTCCATATTTATCCATCTGGTGAATCTCCCAGCACCCCCGATTCTTTGGGCACATCCTCGATTGCTTTTTGCAGTCAACTGGATCAAAGCCTATGCAGCATGAAATGTGTTGGTGCAGTTTATGGATTGTATCTTCTGTATTACCCATTGGATGTAGCCCTTCACTTCCACTTGCTGGGAAACAACTTTTCTGGTGTTAGGAGTAATAACTGAAGGAACAGAAATGGGTAAAACAAAGCACAGGCAAGGGTATAGGGAACAAAAATGTTGCTTTGCAGCGTGACTTGTTTCACAGTTATCTATTTTTTCCCCTAGTTTCTAGGAGTAGGATAAACAATATTACACTTAAAAGAAAGATTCTGGGACTTCAAGTGTACTTTAATTTTTGCATATGTAACCTAAAAATTCTATTTTGTAGATAGGAGGATAAATCACTATTTCTGCTTAATTGAATGTGATTTTAGTGGCTGTCTGTTTTTGTCAAACTTCTGTTACTAAGATCTGTCATCATTGCATGTTCTTTTTCTATGACTTTTAAACCTACCCCCAGGTTTGTAAAATAATTATGAGCAAAAGAAGCCAAAAATATGACTTGTTTAAGATTAGCCTTGAAGCCTGCTTCAAACAGCTCTGACCAGCAGCAATCCTATGGTTTTGGGCTGGTGGGGATCCCTGCTGTCCTCTGTGCAGGCACAGTATCCTTGCTGGAATTTTATGTGCATAGCTGCCCCTGGCACGTGGAAGAAATAACACTCAGATCAATTATACAAAGGATTATAAAGTTGTGGTAGGGCGAACACCTCTGTTGTAAAGGCAAGAGCCACCATAGCCTAACTCCTGCTCTGTGCCTTGTGTTGCATTGCAGCTGCAACCAAAGACACCCTGCTGTTTTTCCAATTCCTCCAGCACCAGGAAGCACAAGAGGAGCCTACACTGGGTGATCCAAAACAGTGCATGAAAACAGCTGAGGTTGATGTGAAAGAGCAAGCTGGGGGGTGAGTTCCAGTTCAGCTGCTTTGTTGCAGCTCTGCACCTGCACAGAGCAGAGGAGGGCAGCTGCAGACAGGTAAGTGCGTGCAGTTAAAAAAATAAATTTAAAAAAAAGCAAAAGATATACTGCTTGATATTTAGCTTTTGTGTGGTTTATACAAAATCTCTTGTGGTGCTTTGTAACCTCAAGGCATCTTCTGTAGGGGCATAGATTCCCATGTGGAATGTCAAGTGGTGGTCTGCAAGGAGTCACTGTAATTTTGGTAACTACTTTTTTCTTCAACTAGCTTTTCTCTGTTTGACCAGATTAGGAGATGTAATCAGAACAAAAATAACAGAGAAAATTCACACTAATAGTAAATTATGGGGATGTAGACACCAAGTATTGAACTGGAAGGTGGGAAGGAACAAAAGAATCCAAGTCTTCTGGATTAGAGGTGAATTGCTTCCTTGTTCTGAGCTGAAGCCTTTCCAATTTGAGGTCATACCCTCAGAATGTACTGTGTATTTCCCTTTCCAAAGGAAGCAAGTTTAATAATTTCAGCACAGGGAACCAGTACTATTGGAAATGCTTCCAAAATGTTCTTAGGTAAAACAACAGATGCCCAAGCAAAAAAGCAAGTATGGCAGTGCAGTGCTCCTATTTGTGAAGGTCTGAATAAGTCTGTTCAGCAAAAGCAAAATTTAGAACACGTATTCAAACCACCAGTCTGTTTTGTGCTTGTGTTCAAAGTACGTGCTAAACAGAGATACGGCACCCAAAAACTCATTTGCCAGTGGAAAAACAGCCCCAAGTTAATACGTGGAAACAGTTGTACATCTCCAATGCTAAATGAGCAGGAAACATAAACAAGACTAAACAAAAATTAGCTTGAAACCTATGATGCCGTGGCAAAGAAATGACAGTATGAAACACAGACGTAGCTCTTCAGTATTATAATTTTATTATATCTGCACCTTTTCAACAGAGGCTTCTCATATTATCAGTTCCACCTTTTGTTGGCAAATGATGAAGCATGATGATCTGTCAAATCACAGGTAGTACACTGAACAATAATATTTAAGAAGACTCTTGTCTCTTTCCTTCTTTAAAAAAAAAAAAGAAAAATATTTGATGTTGATAACATAAAATTCAATTTTTCAGGGGGGGTTTGCAAATATGTTTGTTCATCTGTGGAAGTTTCTGCAAAGTTACCTCTTTTCACAGTGACAAATTATGTATGTCACTTATGGTAAGAGTCTTATTTTTTTATTTTTATTTTTATTTTTCCCTTCCCTCCCCCCTCCCCCCCCCCCATATTTATTAAGGTTGTTCTGGAATATTAAATCTGCATACAACTACTGCAGAGTTTTCCTCCTCACTGATACTTTGTTTTATGTGGAATATATGTTTACGTAATTTAAAAAGATTGCTCTCTACAAAAGACTTTTATACTCTATTTTTCATTTGCATTCCAAATACTTGCTGTAGGGTTTTCTTATTCTTAGCAAAAGGAGATAGATCCCCAGATGTATTTTCCTTTGTTTTTCTTTCTTCCTTCTCCCCTGTGTAAATACTCTTATAAAAGTAAATTTAACAAAAGACCATTCACTATAAAAAACTTCCTCAGCAGTGACATGATACACCACACACCCACTTGTGTAGTCTTTATCAATAACAACAGAAACAGTGTCAAGTGATAAAAATATATGTGATTTAAATCAGCCGTTTTGGGAGTATATTTATTCAAGACCCTTCAAACGGAGATGAATAGCAGGTTTCTAAATGTGGTGTTATGAGGGTAAGCAAATGAGTCATTATTTGTATTCTAGAGCAACAGAGTTGGGCAAGAACAACACCACAAGAGGGAATAAGCAGTTGTATCTAACTGTTTATTCTATTACATTCATCACCACAGGGTGTATCTGTGCATGTGAGGTCAAGGTCAGCGATCCTTGCTCACATGAATCATTCTCAGCACTAATGGAAAACAGCCCTGGTGCAGCGTGTTGGAACACCAACAGCTCTGGCAGACTTGTGACACTCCTGACTCCTGAGCTCAATTCACACGTGAGGCAGAATGGCTGTGGTGGGGACATCGGGGCTTGGGATGGATGAGAGCTTAACAGGGGCTGTTGGTGGAGATGGGCATTGAGAAGAAGGAGGATAATTTTTAACTGGATGACAAAACAGTGCTGCTGTGGGCCAGCTATAGCTCCTTTACATGTTGGCTGTTTGAGTTTCAAAGCTGAAGAGTGTTTCAAAATGAAATTTTAATTAAAATATCGCAACCTGGATCTCAGTTAGTTCCCAAATAGAGTTTTAAAATTATGATAACAAATCCTAATTATTTTTCTCCACAAGTTTATTGAAATCAAGGAAACAGAGATGGAATATAGTGGCACATGAAGACGGGTTTACGTTTCTTCTCTCTCCCTCCTCCTCTTTCAATCAGTGCAAATTCTGCATACATTTTCTCTGTATTTCTGTGTCCATATAGAAAGAAGGATATATTTTGTGGAAGTGCTGATCACATATATAATATATATGGGTATGAAAAATTAGAAATCAACCATGGAATAACTTTTCAGGGCTGCTGCAGTCACAACTATAATTTGATATACAAAGGGATTTATTATCAAGGTTGCAAACAAAAGTTATGCGCATTATGTTTCTTGCACTGCAATAACCCTTCTACAGAAATTTTGGCGACCCCTCGCCAAAGCCAGGGGAGGAACTCGATGGCCGGAGGAGTCCCCGGGACTCTAGGGAGGAAGAAGAGGGTGCTCGGCGGAGGTGAGGGAGGGAGGGAGGGAAGGAGGCAGGCTGTTGTCTCACCACACATGGTCTTGTGGGAAGTGGGAATCTCAGGTTGAGTTACTCATCGGTATGGAGTCAGGAGTGCGCACAACCAATGATTTTGATGGCAGGAGGTAACGTACACATGTTTTTCAGGGAAGGTGCTGTAGGAGGACTTGCCGGCGGGCAGGAGGAGGTTTGCGCCGAGGGCTGTCATTTCCCAAGCGCGGAATTCTCCTCATCCCAGGAGCCCATCACCGCCGCCTCCGATGCCCTCCCTCCCCTCGGTAGGAGCAGGGGCTGGCGGCGCACGGAGCCGGCCGGGCAGGGGGGCGGGCGCCGTCCCCAGGGCTGCCCGGGGAGCGGGGCGGGGGGCGCGGGGCGGTGCTGCCCGGGCTGGGCGCTGCCTGCCCGCGCTGATTGACGCCGGCCCGGGCGGAGGCGGGTCCGCGGGGACCGCGCCGCTCCCGCCCGCCGCCGCTGCCGGGCAGCGCGTCCCGCGCTCCGCCGCCCCCGCGCTCTCCCGCCGGGATCGCGGTGCCGCCCGCGGCATGGCCGGCGCGCTGGGCAGGGGGGCGGCGTGCTGGCGGATGCGGAGCGCGGCGGGCGGCAGGAAGGAGAAGCCGCCGGGCTCTAAGCCCCAGCCCCGGCACGGTAAGGGGGCGGCCGCGGCGGGCTGGGACGGGAGCCCCGAGGTCCGCACGGGGCAGCCTCGGGGCCAACTTGCCTGAGACTTGTATTACCCGCTCGGACCCTCCGGGGCAGCGGGATCCTTTTCTCCTTTCCCCTCCAGCGGGTGCGGAGGGAGAGGAGCTCCCTGCTCCAAAATTCCGCCGGGCTGCGCCTTATGTCTTTTATTTGCCGAGGCGAAAGGAGAGGAACGGTGTTGGCGCGCGTTTTGGCATCTCGCTTTGACAGCGGCTTCTTTGATAATTTCTGCAGAAAGCATTTCTAATCTGGCAAACGTCAGTGAACCTGAGAAGAGTCCTCGAAATCTCTTTTGGCTTTCACGATCTTAATGCCCGGAAAGCACTGTTGAAAATATTGCCCTGTATGCTGCTGTCGCCTCCTCCCTTACTTGTTCGGAGAGACAGATGCTCTTTTTGAAGGCTAAACAGCCACACAGACAGTTCTCCCAAAATCACATCCTGACTTTGAAGACGTAGAGTGGAGTGGTGTTCCACGAACTATTGAAAACAAATGTTGAGGTTCATGACCCTTGTGTGCTAAACACTGAATGCAGTTTACCCAGAGCCAGACCTGTCATGTACGGTTTTCTTACTGTACTGCTTGGCTGTCACTGTTCTCTGCTTTGAGGAACAAACCCAACTGTTTGTGGATCTGGTTGCAATTCTGGAAATCCCACTAGAATTTGTTCTAACTGTGTGTTCCCCTTTGGGTTGTAAATCCACTATTCGGGTAACTGGGTTTGCAGAAGTCTCTAACCTAATCCTTTATGCGTAAAGTAACAGCTTAAGTTGTGCTTGAGTTCTGTCAATTTATGTTTGTTTGTTGTTGTTTATGTTTGTCCCCAAAGTAACTTCGTGTCTTTTCCTGAGAAGCTAATTTGGCTGAAGGAGTAATTTGTACCCTTTAAAGTCCAGAGGTTGCTGTAGCTCATTCAGTAATCTTGATAACAAAGATGTTGGGATGATGGGGAGCCTGGTACCTCAGGTGATGGTATTTTGGGAAAATGCTTGCTAAGAAAGTAATACAGTCAAGTGCAGGTCTGAAATGAAAGCAAACTCGGTGTTTCTTCTAGTGATTATCACCTGGATGTTTCTGAGCTGGAACGCTTCTACAGCAACATCTCCTTTTCTATTTTGCTTCTTTGTGCCCCTTTCACAAGACAAAAGAGGAGGCAGACTAAAAGTCAGAGCACAGATTTTGTTAGTGGATATCAAAGATCCTCTTAAATAAATTCTCTGAGGAAAAAAAAGTGTTATCCATTTAGAAAGAAAAGTGGTTGTTTAAAGGTAATTGCAAATATTTATCCTATTAATTCTGAGTGTGATGCTGATAGTAGGGACTGACATGTTGGTGTTTATGAGATTCCTTTAAGTTGTGTACCTATCTCATGTGGGTATTACACAGTAGCTAGGCACGCAGACCAAAATTCTGGATGCAGTGAATTCAGTGGGAATTTTGCCACTGACCTAAGAAGAGCCAGAATTGAATCCACAGCCTGTGTAGTGTGAGGTGTTGGGCCAAACTGAAAACATTGGGCTGATTCAGCTGTGCAATTGTGGCAAAGTCTATAATCCTGCATATGCTGCTATGATTAATATATTATCAAAATAACTATAAATTAAATCAGTTAAATCATGGAGTTATAAAATAACTTGGTTTTAATTTACCTTAAGAAAAAAAAGGTATGGTATGCTTCAGTCCATCAGGATTGCTTCTTAAAAATGTTTTCTAAAATATCATATTACACTGAATTCACATGTAAGTAATTACTGCAACAACACAGAACACTGAATTACACTGAATCCCATACACTTTGTATCCCAATTGGATTTCAACTGTCATTTAAAAATAAGCACTCTATTGTATTGCCTTTGCAAAGTGAACTAGACTTAGTCACCAGATTGTTTACTAACCTTTGACAGTTCCAAATAAGGTAAAATAAAGGTAAAAATATAAGGTAAAAATAAAACTAGAGTATTTTGCATGTCCATAATACTGATTGTGTGCGCTAGGGAAATATTTGGGATGAAAACCAAAGATGTGATACTACTTTAGTATGCTTACAAAATTTTCAAAGTTATAGAAACACTCATTTTTCCAAGAATAGGGTTTTAAGTAAATTTCAGCTTTTGTAAGCAGTGTTGATAAATTCATCATGCAGAAACAGAGAACTTGGTTAAAATGCTTAAGCTAAAGCATTAGAGGGGTTATAAGTAAGATATAGCTAAAAGTAAAATTGTGGTATATGAACTGCCAATGATTTTTAACTACCAAAAGTTTCAAAGTGAGGTGGAAACTGTTCACCAGAGAGCTGTATGAATGAAATAATTTGAAATTTGGGAAGTAACATTTCTTGGGAAGTAATATTTCTTCCTAATCTCAGTTTTTGCTACAAAACCATATCAATGGGCCACCATCCTACCTTAGAAAAAAGAGTCATAGCTCTATGGATCTCAACAGCTCTGTTATGATTGACACCATCTGAAGACCATGCACAATATTTCTGTGTATGTTTGGATTAAGATATGTTTATTTGGGCATCACTTAATGGTCTGAATTGGCAGGGTGAATACTGAGTTGCAGCTGAGCAAACCTGCCATTTAACTGAGTCAAGTTACAAATATTTTCCAGCTTTGACATTCTTCTCATCTTTTACATGAGGAATTAAGGGAGACTTTTTGTACTTTTCTGATCTTTAAAAATACAAATATGAAAATTTCCCTGGGATCTCATGTGTAAAAGTTCTTGTTTTAGAGGTTTTTTTTGTTTGATACCATGTAAAGCAATATAAAGCAGAGCTAGCGTTTCAACCCATTGTGATCTATACAGTAAATGAAGTCTTGTCAAGATTCCAACAAAAAGTTCAAGATCCTGTTGGGATTATGAATATTAAGAGTCTTGTAAAAAGTCCATTTTTAAATTTTTAATGTTGGGTTATCTTTGGCAACTTACCTGTAAAATCTCCAAAGAACTTGAAAACTGACAGTTATAGCCAGAATTCTATTACAGATTCTCTTTAGGCAGATGTTAAGAAGTAACATAACGAAAAATGTGTAAATAAAGTAATATTTTAGTGTACTACTTAAGAAAAATTTTGAAATATTTGTATGAGAAAACTTCCTCCCTTGTGTAAGATTGTGACTAAAAGCTATGAAACAGAAATAAGTTTTAAAATACTTGGTACCACTAGAAATAACTTCTGGAGAGAAAGCAATGTTTTATATCCCTTTTAAAGCTATGTGAAAGTTAGTATAAAAACAGTTACCAGGGAAAACAGCACAAGTAAATAGTGCTGGATGTATGTATAGGAGTGTGTGTATTCACATAGCTGACATTTTAGACAGAAAGCAATTACTTTCAATTTATTTCATTTTTTTTAAAAGGAGCTCTCAAAATGTGCCATATTTAGACTGGCAAGCGCAAGTCCTCTATGCTTCAGCCAGCACAATGAAATCACTTAGTTTTATGCCAATATGTTGAATTCTACCCAGGTAGGATGGGTAAATGAATATGAGCTCTAACAACACAGACCACTTTTTCACCTGGAACTGCTGACTAATTTTAGTCTTCACCTATCTAGAGTTGTCACAGAATAAGACAAAAACCTGTTATTGCCGTATCTGTTTGGTGTAACTGAAAGGTTGTAGTGTGGGAAGGGTAGAAGTCAATGTACTATTGCTGCAGACATGGTCTCTTCCAGCTGTGTTAAACTGCTGGGAGAATGGAGAGAGAGGAAAAGAAACCCTACAAACCTGTTCATAGTTCTCCTCTTGAATAACCTTAGTTGTATGCATATGTGCAAACATCTAGGTTGCTCCTGGAGTGGACTAATTCCACAGTTAACAGTTAGGAAATTAATTTGTGCTTGAGCTTTCCACTTTCAGATGTTCTCATCTTTTTACATTTCTTCCTGAAATATTCAAGAATGTGCTTCAGTATTTTCTGTTGGCTTTTCCTTTTCTTCCTTCTCTGTCTCCTGGGAAATAATGTTATTGGTTGTGTTGAGGTAGTCAGAACCAAATCTTCTGTTTTGCTTGAGGCATAGTTCCCTCACCTCACTTTTTACATGTGCCTTATTGTAGCATTTGTGAAAGTAAATGTCTGAAATTAATGTAGGTTTTATATATATATATAAAAATATATGTATATGCTTCAAATAAAGGAATAGAAGTTTTCTTCTTAAAGCACGTAAACATCTGTTCTGTGATCAAGTGGAATAATCTGCTGGTAGATTTTAAATATTGAAACATTTTCCTAGCCTGTATGTTCAGAATGTGTGAACATTGATGTTATTTCTGTTTACAGCTACTGACACTTTGGTGCCGCAGCCACTTTTGGGGTCTCATTAGTAAGGCAGTGTGTTTACTGTGTAATGCAGACCGTGCTCTTAAGGCAAGGGTTTCCAAACAAATGGGTGGGTAAGGAAGGGTTTTGACCTGGAGAACAAGAGGGGTTGGTTTGAGAAGCATATTTTAACTTATTAGCCTTTCCTTTTTTCTATTAATATATGTATTGCTGGCTAGCTGTTACCACTTTCTGTGGTTGTTTCTGGTTATTTGTTTGTAAAAAAATATTTGTTTGTTTCTTTTGTTTTTCAAATTAATTCCCTTTAAGAAAGGCAATACCCTAGTGGATGCCTAGTTCATAAAGAGGATATTTATGATACTGATAAAACCTAGCATTATAACTTCCTCAATTAGAGGTAAGTAATCTGAGCTAAAAATCCACAGGCTATTATATATTTTAATTTATGATAGAATGAAAAACCCACCATCTAGATCTTAGCAGCAGACTCCAAATACAGTTTTCTGATATTTATTTAAATCTAATTTTGGTGCACAAATGTAGTTAAGAATCCAAAGACTTCCCTTCCACTTCATAACCAGATATATTTTTCTGACTTTTATTCTTTTACAGAATATTTGGGTAGTTTTTTTCAGACAGAATCTCAAGTCACCTTGCTG